CAAAGTCTGTCCCGCAAGGTGTGAAGCTCTGTTGAAACCATATTCCATTAGCTGCCTTTTAACGTTGTTAAGTAATCAAGGTGAGCAATACACCTCAATGCCTTGTCAATAGCGTAACCAGAGGCAAAACTGCCTGGACGGGGTTCATACGCCTCTTGGTTAGTTTGAAATCAGGATTTTCCAGCTTTCTTAGGTGAACTGCCATTTGTTTACCGGTTATAGCCCCGGATGTTGGCTCACAGTCCTCTCACTTTGATGGGAAAACCTCCGCCACGTGAAGGCGGTGATTAAGACTTCCTCTGTCGAGGCCATTTGAGACGCTCGGTCATACACGAGCATTTCGGGAGGTACAAGGTAAGGACCACCAGTCATCACTCACAACAATCAGACTCCAGAACTCATTCACGTCTTTGTAGGTGATCGCTTATTTTTGCTCTGTATGAATTCCGTCTAATCCCAGCATGCGTACTATCGCTTGTTGTACTCCTTGGCTGTGTGGTGAGCATATTTCGTTCAATGGAATCCCCTCCAGCGCATAACTGTATATTACTGAGCGCACCCCCGGGAAGCAGATAAGAAGACGGCGTTCAATTCACGGTTAACAGGGAATAAGTTGGACTTAGGTTCACCGAACAATCGGTTGCGAACAGTCAACGGCAGCGCTCCAGGTTGTGGTGGGTTTACCTCTTGGCAAGGTTTCTCCGCACGAAATACCACATATGTTTATGGACACGAAGTATGACTGTTTCCCATTGTCGAGGTTTTTTGTTTGGCAATGCAAATGCAAATGAACAAACATCTGATCGTGGGCTCATATGAATCATCGCTGCTGCTTTGCAGTCTGCGCTTGGTTACGCAAAATTTATTCTACACCCTTGAGCAAAGCCTACTCTGGACTGAGCGACGAGTAGTAAAATAGCGTAAACAACAATGAGCTTTCTTCATTTATTCAATACTGCTAACCATTTTACGCCGCACATACCCTGCTTTTCTAACACCACTAGCGTGTTTTCACTTTCGCTGTGTTCTTCATGCGATTGTACCTGCGATAGGGTAGGAAAGCTGTCGCTGTTCTCTCGCGTCTTACTTCGACTATCGCTCTACTCTCATAGAATCCTTCACGAGCTGAAGTCCTTCGTCCTCGATGCCCATTCTGAATGAGTCGTGTTTAACGCGCGTACTTTGATGTGTATAGAACAGGCGCGTTTAGATAATGCACTCGAGAACCAAGCCATCGAAGACTACAGTTCGATTAGCTGATTGACGTCCCCATTGACTAATCTTCAAAGTTTCACCTACGCCTCTATGAGGGCCCGGAGACTGCGGCTTTCGGTTTTGCTGGCGCTAGTGTGGTGCTCTGTAAGAGAGCTGAAAACGCGCTCCTATACTGGATCCCATTCGACAGAAGGCCCTAACACGTAATACTCTCAGGGTCGCGTTTGCACAAACCTCAAAGTAACCGCAAAGTAAGCAGCCCTCACCTCGAGAGAAGAAACTTGTTTGTCATGTCGGCGTACACCACAACCGACTGCTGTCCATGCGCAGTCAAAAACTACAGGACCTCTAGCGTAAAGCTATCGGGGCTGCTACCGTAATTTTAGCATGAGATACGAATGTTTCAGTAGTCTGGCTGACTTTGAGTAAGATGCATCTGCGAGATTCGTTTGGACTAGATTCTTGTCTCTCGAAAAAAAGGGAAAGAAGGTGAACTCAATGCTCCTAGCCCCGCCTAATCCTCGCCAATACAAATTTCAGACGATTCATCTGCCGGTGCGACGTTTGTCGTCCACCTTACTCTAGTCAAGGAAGTATGCAGATCGATCATATGGCTATATGCCGCAACATGGCGTGCAGTAAACAAACAAAAGATTTGTTGTTCCCCAAGTTGACTAATTTTGTCTTCCTCACTTCTGTTCCCCTATTCTTTGTTAACGCATGGTTATTTTGGCGCCATATCTGAGAGGATTCATGTAATATATATACGGTGCGATTGCTCTATCGTTTTCGATCGTCTCGTCCCTCTCACTCGTAACCTTAAGCAAGTAAATTCCTTTTGACCCCTAATGCGATCTGATTGGACAATATTTCGCGATCTGCGGTGCTTAAAATCTCTCACCCCAACACGAGACTGTCTGATTACCGGCTTGTACGTTTTCCGATGCTCTTGTTGTTACG